GGAAGTGCTGTGGCCCTCAGCCCCACATGTTGCACACACTTCTCTTTCACACAGCAATTGCCGCAGAGCAAAGCAGAGAACACAGCCAGGCAGCGCTAGGGCCGCGTGTACTGGCAGTTATTTCTTGTTGGTAGTGAAGTTATCAGGAAATCATGAGTCAGAGGTGAGAGTTTGAGTGTAACAATGGAGACCAGAGATGGGAGTCCATCCGGTGCAACTCCCAGCACTAACCCTACACCTCATTGTAAGCCATGTGTCAGTCATCCCGGAAATGCTGCACAGGCAACAACTTCGGCCTCCACCAGGAGGGCTAGGAGAAGAACCGCAACCCTCCAGCTTCAAGACAGGCTGATCTCCACCACAGGAGCCCCACAGAAGTGCTAACAGGTCCTTTATGCTTTCTGTGGGCAGGTAGCAGAGGGTGATGTCAACCTCGCCTGTGGGGCCAGAGCAGCCTGCCCAGGGGCTTAGGGCAGGGCTGGGTTCTGGAGAAAGGGCTCTGGCGTTGAGACTGGGAGCTGGGTCTGCTCAAATGGAAGCAAGACACCAAGAGCTGCGAGCAAGCTGGGGCTCAGTTGCCTCCTGTCCCCATGTGCAAAAGAGGGAGAAAGATGCAGGGCCAGGAGCCCAGTGCTGGGGGCTGCGCTGTATGCTTGGCACCTGCCTGGGCCTCCCCATCACTGGGGTGTCTGAGCTGCAGCCCCCAAGTGCTGCCGGGAGAAGCCCAGTAGTGGCACTGAACTACCTGGCAGTGGCAGATGCCCATCCTGGCATCAAGCACTGGGACCCCTTCTGTCCTAGCCACAGAGTCCCTGCACCTGGCCCGGGCGCACCAGCTCAGGGCGCCCGAGCTGCCCGCCCCGGGGCTCCCCTCTCTCTGCCCGTGCGGGCTGGAGCCCGGCGCTGGCAGCTCCAGATCCCAGCAACAAAGTCCACGCTCCGGGTTTTGCCCCTGCCCGCCCGCAGGTCGCTGCCGATCCCAGCCCTGGAGTCCCGGCCCCGGATCTTGCCCCCGCGCGGTCTCAGGGGCCGCCGTCCGCAGCCGAGTCCGGATCCGGAGGATGCGGATCCACCCCGCTCCCTTCTCCGCTGCCCCGTGACGCGGGCAGCAGCGCCCGGCCGGCTAGGGCAGGGGCCGCGCAGCAGCCGCCTTTGTTCGCCAACTCCGCCCCTTCCCGGGCCGTTTCCTCCCGTGCATGTGCCCGAGCGTTTATGCAAGCTCGCGAAGGGGCGGGGCGGAGCCGGGGCCGACGCCCCCTCGGTTCCCGCGCTGCGGGGGGCGGGGCTGCCCTCACAGCCCTTTATGGTCCCGCGCACGTGCTGGGGGGAGGGGCCGGGTGGTCCTCATTACCCCGCAGTGATCGGTGAAGGGTGCCTCGGCCCCAGTGCGCAGCCCCACCAGCCCTGAGCGCCAGCCTCGCCCCCACAGGGCACGAGGGCCGGGCTGGGGCAGGCCTGGCCTCCAGTGCCACACACGGCGCGGGGTCTTGGGCACGCGGTCAGGCAGCAAGGCCCTACCGGGTGCTTGAGCCGGCCCACGTGGAAGGACGGGGGGCAGCGGGGTCTGTCCGAGAGGGAGGCCACAGCCTGGCGGGCGCTGGACGCCGCAGGGGCACGAGCGGGGCCGCACAAGGCCCGGGCAAAGGCGACGCCAACAGGCCTGGGGGCGGGGCGGGGCGGGCGGAGCTGAGGCCCCTGGGCCCAGGGGTCTTGTTTTGACCCCGGCGTTGGGCTGCGCGTCCGCGTGGGGACGTCCGAAAAGGGCCC